CGTCTTGTGCAAGCTGTTCAGTCAAAGTTTAAATCGGTATAAGCTTAAAAATAATTTCATATGATGCGAATATTATGGGTAAAGAATGAAAAAAAATATTATGACGATAAAGAAACTTGTGGCGGAGAACGAGCGTTTTAAATCGCCAAGCGGCACGCGTGTTTGCAGTCTCCATCAATATGTCGCTGTTCGGTGACGTAACTTATGCGAGGCCTCCAGAGAAAACTAATAGCGCTACAGACAAGCCGAATGCTTTAGGTGATGTGGAAATTATCAGTGAAGAATGAAAAAAAATATTCTAGCGTTACATTCATTCCTTACGACGATACAGCGATTTAGATAGGAACTAACCGTGTCTTGCTCAAGATTTAATTGACCCGACACGGTTTGGCGACTTGGCTTATTCAAGCTGTTTAGAGCAATTTAGAAGCAGTAGCGACTCAGTGATTGCGTTATATGATAGTCCTTTTCTTGGCGAAGAATGAAAAAAAATATTGTTAGGATGGGTGAAGGCTTTGTGGAGTTAGAGCCATTTGAACACGAACGCCATGCCTCTGGCTCCAGATTCAATCTGAAACTGGAACTGCGAATCTGAAACTGGAGCTGTCTGGCTTCTCGTTTCATATCTTCAGTTCAGTACCGCTACGTAGATGAAAATACCACCAATCGATTCAGCGAAATAATATTTCCTGATTCCTAATGATAATTTTGGTCAAAGACAAGGGAAAGTACATTTATTATGCCGAGGGGGGGGGGATGAAGATGTTAAGGGGGGACACTGAAATATTTTCTGGCATTAAAGGGGGGGCTCTGAAAGTTCTTGATATACTGAAGGGGGGGGGCTCTAAACTTTTCAAAGTTTTGACCGCAGCAAATTCAAGTTAAAATTTTGACATTTTCAGGTAAAATTTGCGTAATAAAGTAATTATTTTTGTGAAATGATAACCTTTTTTGTAAAATACAGTCAATTTACATGCAATTTTTTTGCGAAATTTGCTTTCGAAAACGCCAGAAATTCAGTCCTAGAGCTTCAAAAATGTAAAAATTTTCTGGGGGAGGACCCCCAGACCCCCCTTTTCACCCAAAACTTAGTATGAGAGTGCCAATCAATCACAAAAAGCTTTATTATAATTATTACACATATAATCCTCTAACATCCCCACCCCAAACGTCGGATGCTTTGCTACGTCCCTGATGGTTGTATTCGAAACCGATTTCAGTTTTAAGATATCCTTAGTCTGCTGTTCTAAATGGATGCATGAAATCATGTATTAATTATAACACTATTCTTGACATTCACTTGTGCCCAGTCTCTTTGGCCGAGTTATGTATTGTCGACGTGAATCGAGATTTGTTCAAAATTTGGATGTCCGTCGGCAAACCGGGGGGCCACGGGGGGCGACACATCAGGGAAACGCGAATGCTAATGAACGTGTCTTCACACAGTTCACAGTCGTGAAAGATATTATTCGATGTGTCAGGGAGTGATCATAATTTTAAAGGTATTACAAGTGCAGTTTATATGCCACAACTTTACTGGTAATATTCGTGGAAGTATTCATCAACGTGCGGTTTTGAGACTACGTCTACGGTTTAGACTTATATGCTACACTGAGTCAAGCAACCTTGCCCAGTGAGTTGTGTCAGTCAGTGTTCGAACAAGTGCATTAAAAGTGATTATATCTGTAAGTTTAGTTTATATATTCAGTGTTTTAAAATTTTATATTGATGTATTAAATGAACCCGCGGTTTATTATTGAAGACGTTGCGAATATCGAGGGAAACAGGGTTCATATCTCTGCTATGGCTATGCCTATGAAGACTACCATGTCTATGGCTATCCACTTTATGGTTACCTACTACAAGTCTCTGGCTACTATGTATTATGAAAGTGTTTGAGAATTTAATTTTAAATTGTTTCTTCAAAGTCGAGTATTGTCATTTATATAAATATACTATGTCTATAATTTGTGTTCAATAACAATATCTCTCCGAGCTCTCAACTCTATGACTTTGCAAGGTTCATTTATAATCTTCGAGTCAGTGCACGCTATGAAGACAACAATACCACCATTCGATTCAGTGAAACAAAATCTCCTAATTCCTAACGATACAAAGCTATTTATGACCTTTGAGAGGTCAAGCGGTATCATTTTCACTATATATTTCACCGAAAACAACTTCGGCCCCTTTGGCTCTGGACATATCATTTTCGTATAAATATTCGAACCAGAATCCTAAACACTATTTATAGAGTGTTATTTTCAAGTTTGTGTCTTCAGATTTTCATCTTTTATTTCGGTATTTGCAGAATAAAATCAATCCGTTATATTTTTAGCGCAGCATCAAGCGATCAAAACAAAACATTCTACAGGTCAAAGTCACAGAATAAGGCACACAGAAGGGCCACTTACGTCGGAAGCTTTGAAGTTTCTGTCACCCTGGCCGCCATCTTCCTAGCCAGTTGATTACATTTTCTGGCCAATAAACGCGCTGTATTGGCTGAAGGCCCCGCCTTCTGGACAGTCAACTGCATATTTTTGCATAGAAAAATGGTGACACGTTGCAACGCTGAGTGGCCCTTCTGGTACTGATCTTTATTCTGTGTCAAAGTACTCCCAGTGGCAGTGGTTTGCACGTGCATCCAGTGCTCTCACAATCAAATTTTCGAATTCCTTAGAATAAGCTCGAAAATTCCTCAGATTTCCTTAAAATTCCTTAATTAAATAAGGTGCATCAGACAATTTGATGCTTTTTATATGGCCAAGCATACACGTGGCGCGCGTGCGAATAAAGACCCGAAAAATTCAAAATAAAAACTTCTACTCGCCGTATTTAAACGAAACTTTCTACATGAAAGCGCTTGAATACAAGGCTGATTTTTAATACTCTCATTGAGCAAATTGTGAAGAGTTTGGAAGATATTCAAGTTTTTTTTCGTAAATATATGATTCATTGTTTGAAAAGGTCCGTTGAAAAGGCCTTAAAGGATGTTTTGTCAGGATTACAATGGTGCTTTTCGTTTTAAAGGGGGGGGGGATATTCGCTGAGATATCTACAATTAGAAACAATAAAAATCGTAAAAATTTTAAATTGGGGCGTGACGAGAAATTAACCCGTTTACTGGCACTCACATGTAAAGTTGTCCGGCGTTGATAGACAGTATCACAGTAAATACTAAAGTAGGTCGCATTGCCAGCCAATGGGGGCTAATAAGAGACATTGGCAGATAGGTTTGTTAAAAATTTAATACTGACAGTACTCTAACACTGACAAGTAAAATCGTCTGGCGTTACAGAGTGTAAATTTGTCTGGGGTTAGACGAGTTAATACTAAAGTAGGGTACATTACCAGCTAATGGGTATGCCGTTTATCCAGTTTTGACCCAATGGCCTCATTTTCATGTTGGCTGTTTACTTGTGTTCCGTGCACACAGACTCACAGTTTAATAATAAGTTTGTCATTGGGCATTGGGTCAAAAGTAAACTTCCCTTTAGAGAATTGTCTAGAAGTATACTCTTTTGCATTCAGTTCATGTCGCCAAACGGCAGCACATTAACTCCTAGTTATAACTCCTAGTTATAATTATATTATTGCTGCCGAAGGCAGCAACCTATTCTTGACACGTGGTTTCCCCAGAGTCCACTCGACCCAGTCTTTCGCGCGATCTATGTATTGTCGCGATCTCGATTTGTGTCTGTCTGTCTGTCTGTTAAGATGATTTCCGGGAGAAATAATTAAGCTTCAGAACGTTTTTTTTTAACGAGGGGGGCTGTCAAACTTTATTTGTATTGTGCGTTTGTGCAAGCAGTTTAATGAAAATTTTAATACGAGATCATACGAGTTTATATGTTGGATTGCAAACGAATATCAAAGAATAAATCAGGTAAGAATGGTTTTATTTCTTTCTGTTGATATACATGAAAGCATTTAGATCTGCTGCTTTATAGCATTCGATACAGAGGTATTGAAACATATGATTTCATGATGTCAATAATGACAGCTATCTTATTTTTTATACAAGGAGCTTGAAAATGTACTTTGAGTTTATTTGTTTGTGTGGCGATGAGTTTTATATAGTGTTCATTTTAGATGTTTATGGCAATGGTGCTTTCAGCACGTTTTAAAAACAAACGCGGACAGACGGACTGTTAATACTTGTGCACGTAATCAGGCTTAATTCCTATAGCAACCCAGTGTGAGGATTGTTGTCTGTATATATTAACTTTAATAGCAGGCTACCAGCAGTTACATGCAAATAGCATGTCAACTGACTTTTGTACTAGGCCGGGTATGCCGCCTGCGCTCCTTCCCCCAGCGGCTACGCTCGTGTTCCAAGATCCGCCATGTAAAGTGTAGTGAAATGTTTCTCATCGTAATATTAAATCCTAAGAAAACTAAAGCCTCTGCGGAGGAGAGAGGCCGGGTATCATGCATGCCTGATGGCCTGTTTATATCTCTGAGATATCTCCATTGTTAAAGATGCGGTACAGTCCGTACGTAAACAAAGGCTTTGTTTACATTTCGGTATCCAAAATATACAATTTTATTCGACAACTATTTATATTTTCGTGATTATAGAGTATAATAAATTATAAAGACACAACAATCAAGCTTTGCAAGAACATAAAACGAAATAAAACCTAAATAAACTGTTTGTATAAAAGAGGGCTCCTCCTTTGTGCACGTGTGCAAATCAGACTGTACAGCATCTTTAACATAATATGAAATAATCCTACCGACCTATACTCATATATTCACCTGGCTGTGTCATGCAATATGTTTCCGGGTATGCTATTCTTGGGTTTCACTAAATTATACGAAATTCCATCATTTCCATGTATTGCCACCAAACACAAGGCTAATACATAAAACAAACAATCGACTCACTCTGATAACTGTGTTTTGTTTTACAGTTGACCCCTAGGCCTGTCACTTCTGTGACGTCATATGAAACCCAAGAATATTCTTCGATAATGCTCACAATTTCTTTCTTATATAGTTTTGTAGTTCTGACTGAGTACAGTCTCTGACTGATTACAATGAATGGTGTCATCTGAAGCTGACATATTAATTAAACAAAAATGTTAACAAATAGATTTTGTCTCCCTATCAGATTTTTCGGTTGATTTGCATACAATAGGGGTAGCCTTGAAGGTGCCATGTAAATAATAATTGGGACAAAAATTGACTTAGTATTTCTACAGTGTGTCTCAAAAAAAAGTGAACCCTTTCAAATTCAAATTAGCTATATTGTAGTAACTTGACACCAGTCTAATTGCATTGAATTAATAGTTAGGTAAGAACACAAGGAATACTGTATTTCTTTTAAATTTTCTAATTTTTATTCCTTTGAGTTTTGTCCCATGAGTACAAGACCTTGTGTTCTTACCCAATCATTCATTCAAAGCAATTAGAGCTGTCAAATTTGAAAGGATTCACTTTTTTTAGACACACTGTATATATGATATTATACCGTATTCAGTGGCTAGCTAGCCCTGGCAACTGGTCATTCTATCCTAATAAACCTGCATATATTGTAATTATGCATACAAAAGCAAGAAATTATAAACATTGAAGGTGTTCATATAAAACTGCCCAATGCCAAGAAAGTAGAAATAGAATATTTAGCTGACCTTTGACTTTGTGCAAGGTGTTTGATATTCAAATTGTACTTTTCCTACCTCATGAACATGTGTCTTAGGGGCTGTTTACTGTAAATATTGGAAGCCGGGTGATTTTAATGTATTGAAATAAGTCAACAGAATTCAAATGTTGTAGTTCAAGAAGATTATTATTGCTGCTTGAACAACCTTGCTGAATCGTGCACAGTAATTTATTTTAGAAGTAATACATCAAAATAATCCTGCCTGGCATCTCGTCCTGGCAAAGCAGGATCATATATAGCCTCCTCCGCAGGCAACTCTTTGGCAAGAATTGGCAAAAGTATTATTATGAATAAAAAATTGGCAAAAATGTGAATAATATAGGGTTACGCTCTGTGATCCCTAACAATCCCTAACTTTAAATTCGCTGTTATTCATAATATGTTTGCCGAAGAGTTGCCTGCGGAGGAGGCTAGATCATACAAACAGCCCCTTATTCAGCAAATTCTGCATGCCGCCTTTGATCCCTTGAGGGTGAGGCAGCACGTTCCTTGCGATAGTAACTTCTAGTATTATAGCTTATTTAAATTTTTTTGATGCCAGGTTTATGAAGTAATTTCCAAAAAGTAGCAGTTCCAAAAACAAAAAAGCATACGATTTGTAAGAATGATATGTTCTATGTTGATGGGATATTTAGTACAAACGGGATGAAAATTAAAGAAATTGAAGCATACTGGCACTTTTGCATGCATTTTTGACAGGCATGTAAAGACATTTGCAACAGATGCCGGTAGATACGTTGGGTGGGGGCGACATTCTGTAAGGTTCCAGGACACTACCCTGATTCAGGAAATCCTAGCCACTACATGAACGTGTTCAAGACTCCGACTACGCTGAATGATGGACAACAACAACTTGTTGATAATTTCGCCCCTAGAACCAGTTTAAAATGTTTTTTAAAGACGGTGCCATTTCATCTGGCGCTAGTGAGGTGAAAGAAGCAGCAGATCGGTAGTTTTGTTGAGGAGAAGCACATGCTTGAGTATATCAGACATCTTGAGGAATTGCAAATTGTATCTATGATAAGAGAGAATTCCGGATTGTACTCCTTCAATTCCGAATTCTAGAGGGGGAAGGGGGGGGGGGGGCATCGAAATTTACCAATAACCTCAACAGGGGCCCTGTAAAAATATGAGCTTTTTTCAAGACATCTTTTATCTCCCTCCCTCGGTGTAATAAATGTACTTTCCCCAAACATTATAGCGATTTATGACCTTTGAAGGGTCAAAACGTATCATATTTCAACAAATTACATATTTGTTCGAAAAATGTAAACAATGTATCACTAAAGCCATACCTTTCGCCGGACACAACTTCGGCTCCTTTGAACATGTCTCTTTCGTTGTCATCTTGTTCGATTCACAATCAAAAACACTATTTACAGTGTTATTTTGAGGCTTGTAGCCTCAGTTTTTCGTCTCTTATTTCGATATTTCATTCTGTTGCGATATTAGTGAAGTCAGCGGGATATTTTTTGA